CCGCGGCCGCAATTTTCCCTAATTTTTTTATTAAAGTTGATAAAATGCGAGTTGAAAAGTTATCGACCTCATTAAATGAGTGATAAAAATGATTTTTTAACTTAAATTTTAATCAACCTTATTAGCTGAACCAAACAGGATTGTGTTTCTATTTAATTAATGGAAAATGATTCAAGTACAGGGAATTTTTATCAGAATTTGACCAGATTTTTGAATTCCAACTCACATGTAGTGGATCCATGGATAAAATATTGAAAAAAAAAAAAAAAATCCCCCCAAATGTTGTGTGTGGTCTGTAGGTAATTTGAATTTCTGTACATATAGCTAAATCCTTAATTAATTTACATAATTGACTTTTGGTTTCAAGAGTAAAAATGTTAACGATTTGTTTATATTTTTACGTCGTGATGAATTTAAAATAAGTATACCGACATTAATTAGTTAAACCCAATTTGAATGATTGTGATAATTTTTTTTATGAATGAGCGTGACATATACGTATTACCTTAAGAATGAGCTCGACATGGAAAAATGAAGGCCCTCTAAAGTAGAACGGAAATTCAAATCATATATTGAATTAGTATCTAGCTCTTGTTTGGTATGACTTAAAACTTTTAATCATATATTTCATCAATTTTTATTTAAATTCAATAAAAAATTAGATTATAACCGTACCAAACATTGGCTTTCAAACTCGAGGTGAAGGTCTAACTTGGCCTAATTGTAGGCTCGAACCTAATTATACCTAAAAAATGATGCGATATCTTGGACATGGTCTTCCATGGTAGAAATAGTGAGCAAGTCATTGCCGACTATTAGGGAGCTTATTTTGACTTTTAGAGTGCTAACTCAAAAATGCACGACTTATGCAAAAAATGATTGAAACTTGAGAAAAAATGCACTACCTCTAGTCTCTACTGAATAAACGGGGTCTGTTTGTTATAAATTTTGAAACGTCGAAAGTTATTTTTAGATTAAAAAATTATTTTTCAACATATTTGAATAATTTTCTGAAAGTGTTTTGTCTGATTATCAGGGTAT